ATATATAAAGATTCTAATATTCATGTTTGTAAAAACGACTTATGTCTACAAAGTTCTTATTAGTAAAATACTCAAGACAAAAGGTAATTTTAGTTAGACCTTTTTTCGAATTCGAATTCAGATATGAATATTCAAGATATGATCGAATCTAGATCTAGAGCCAAATTTAATATCATACATACTATTCGAATCTAAATCCAAATTTAAGTAGATAAGGAGCCAGTCCAAGAAATTCTCACCCCTCGTAAAATCCAGCCATTTTGAAGGGAGGAAGAATCCAGCCTACCCCTGTATTTTATCTAAAGACTATTACGCCCACAACTTGAGACGGACCAAAATGTCCTTGTTAGGGAAGTAAAGTCCAAATTGCCGATTACACTTTGCAATGGATCATGGTAGGACGGTCTTTGAATGAAAGGTTACGGCAATTTGGACTTTCCTTCGTAAGACGAGGCCCTCGCCGCAAGGTGTAAAAACATGGCAATTAAGGGCTAAAAGTCGTTTATGAAGAAATGGGTGGGTTGGTGCTAGTGTTTCCAAAATAAAATCGGAACGGTTAATCAAATACGGGTTTAAAAGCGGGTTATATGGCGTAATCGCTAAATCGGTCGATTCAATCGTTTTAATCCGGACAGTAAAAAAACTATTGAAAAACTAAAAACAATGCAATTTTTTTTTATTATAATATGAAAAGTATATAAAGAACTATTAAAACAAAATACGTTCAAATGTAGTTGAAAATTAATTTTAACAAATTGGTTTTTGAATTAAAGTGTGTATTAATGACAAAAATAATTTTTACCTTTTATCATAATATAAAGAATATTAAAAAATAAACTACAAACTAAATTCTTTATTTTTGAGAACATATATATATTTTTATTCTTTATTTTTGAGAACATATATATATATATTTTTATTCAAAAAAAATTAAAATACCAGTCAAACACCAAAACCGCCTAGAACCATAACCCCCGTTAGATAGCCCGATTTTTCTAAGGTCCTCTAAGTTAAGGTTAGGGTTATTTTCGTAATTATTAGGCACAGATTGGGATCCCTGTCATTGTGCAATACTTCAGGGGAAGTAAATTCCTTTGATCATATAACATGTCGCTCACGAAGAGCGCAGGTCCTCTAAGTTAAGGTTAGGGTTATTTTCGTAATTATTAGGCACAGATTGGGATCCCTGTCATTGTGCAATACTTCAGGGGAAGTAAATTCCTTTGATCATATAACATGTCGCTCACGAAGAGCGCTTGGAGCTGTTTCGTTAACAGGTATTTTTCCCATTTGTTCTCTGTTTTTTACATTTTTATTTGCTTTCATCTAAAAGAGTCGAAGATAATCTCTTTTGTTAACTCTCTCTTGTTTTGACGGCGTAAATCGTGTTCTATGCATGGTATTCTGTCAATTTCTGGTTTTTCCATTGTTTTTGGGGGCATGTATTTTCATCTCTTGCGATTTTTCTGGTTCTTAATCTGGGGCTTCCTCTACCATGTTTTCAGCATATTGTTCCTAGGGGCTTTAGGGTTTTTGGGTCCTTTTATTTTTTGGAGACTTTGGGAACCTGTTTCACTGCTGCAAACTCGATTAATGGAATTTTAAATGGAGCTTTACTTGGTTTCTGCAATTTTAATGACTCTTCTGAGCTCCCTGAATGGGCTAAAAGCCCAAAGGTGGAGCCTTTTGTTGATTACATGAACAACGATTTCATGCTTTCTGAGAATGATGGAAAGAAACTTGATTGGATCAATAAATTGGAGAAATTTGACAGTAAAACTATTAACTATTTCTAGGTTTTCACACTCTGAGGATACTGATAAAATTGGTTCATTGCTGGAGAATCTGCACGATTCCCCTGAAGATCTTTGGAGGGCCTTAGACAATTGTGGTGTCAAAGATTCAGAGAGTTTAGTGAACACAATACTCTGGAGATATAATGACGATTGGATTTCAGCTTTGAATTTCTTTAGATGAGCTCATAAACAAGTGGGTTTTGTGAATTCAACTGAAACATATGATATAATGGTTGATATTCTTCAGAAAATGAAGCAATTTGATAAGATGTGGGATATAGTGGAGCAGATGAGCAAAATAGGAGGGTTGATTTCTCTATGTACAGTGAGTAAGATGATGAGGAGATTATCGGGTGCTGGTAAATGGAAGGATGCTTTAGATGTGTTCTATGAAATTGATAGTTTAGGTTTAAGGAAAGCTACCTCTTCTATGAATGTAGTTCTAGATACTCTTTGTAAGGAACACAATATGGAGCGTGCTAGAGATCTATTTTCGGTCCTTGGGAGAGAGATACATTCAATGTACTGATTCATGGATGGTGTAAAATTTAGTGCCTGGAAGAGGTTGAGTGGACCATGATGGAAATGAAGGGATATGGATTCGATCCTAGTATAATTTCATACACTAGTTTGGTCGAAGCTTATTGCTCTTTGCATATTTTCAGAGTGTTGGGGCCCTTCTTAATGAGATGGAGGTGAAGGGATGCCCCCCATTTGTGGTCGGTCACTTATATGGTAGATTTACTCAGGTCAACCAGTTGACACATTAAAATTGAGAATTAAGGTGTACTACTATGATCACATTGATAAGGTTGTTTTGAAAAAACATTGAATTGATCATCTCGACATTGAAATGTATGGATAGGGAGAGAAGGAGATTTCAAGTCCAAAAAATAGTACATACCGTAACATTTTCAAAAAAAAAATAGTACATATTGTAACATGTTATTTGGTTTGTACATGTTCAAGATTTTAATGCGTTTATAAATTTGATTGATTTGAACCAATTTTGAAGTTTAAAATTTTATAATTAGAAATGAAATAGATTCTTGCACCATCGTACAAATTTTTAACACAGAAAATTATATCTCATAACAAAGTTTGGGGGCACAACTTATTTTTGATTGTTTATGGCTACAGCCTTTTAGATTAAAGAAGCTAAAATCCCCAAAATTTGGGGTCCCAAAAAGATTACCATTGGTTGACCTGAGTAGATCTGCAGTATACTCCCACGGGATTACGAGGTCCTTGGGCTCTCTCTCAGGCATATATCTTTCTCTTTCCCACCGTCATTGTTTTGACAGAAATAGAGAGCTCCCATACGCTCTCTATACGTGTTTCGTCCCCATAGAACCTTCATCCTTGGGGTAAAACCTAACTCCGCCATGTGCTTTGGCATCATTTGACCATCATCTTTGATATAGAAAATCAATTTGCCAGATTTGTTAGTATCATTTTTCACTCCATTTTCTGCCATTGTTTTGGGGAAAAGAGCACCCACGGCCATCTTCTTCAATCTATTGCAGGAATCATCCGGCAGCGTTTGTTCTTGGCATCGAGATCGTCTGACGTCTCTTATCTGAGAGTTTTCAGCTGAAAATAGGTACTTTTTTTTGTTGTGGTTTTTCATTATTCTGATATATTTTGGGGCTTTTGGTTTGAGATTTCTCATTCATCAATAAACCATTTCTGATGCTCGTATTATTTGATTCTTCTCTCCTAATAGCTTGAACTCTGTAATTTTTTGTTTCTATTCTGATTCTGGTTCCTCAATGATAAACAAATTTAACCCCAAGCTATTTGGTGAATAATTTTCTCTGATCATTTTTTTTTGTTCCTTCTCAAAACATTTTCATAGCATTTTTCTGATTTTTAACCCTAATTTATTTGCTATTTTTTTGTTGAAGAATTGTTTTTGCTATTTTTTGATGGAGCATTTTTTTGTTGGTTCTTAAATCGGTTTCATGCCTTTTTTTTTTTTCTTCTGATTTTAACCCCAAGTTATTTGCTGATTTTTTTGGTGATAAACATTGTTTTGCTTTTTTTTTTTTTGGTGAAGCATTTCTTTGGTGTTTTTTTGCTGGTTCCTTCTCAAGCCATTTTCATACCATTTTTTTGGCTGATTTGAACTTCTATTTCCTTGTTCTTTATTGAAAAAAGAAAATACATTTAATTATCGACTTATCGTATGACTTCGAACGCTCATATGATGATAAGTCTCAATAATCCAATAACTGTGAGGCTTTCACTAAATTTTATTGGTCATCTTGCTAAATGCATATTCTCGATTATATTGATTTTCATTTTCTAATCAAAATAAAGTCTTCTTTATATACCTAATTATATTAAATCAGTGGGGCTTTGTAAGTTGCGTATGAGAATGGACAACTAACTGGCCCAATTTTTCTAGGAAATACTCATCTTGTGATTTTTTAAGAGAATCCCAAAATTTTGTAAAACTGGAAAGTATAGATAATATATTATAAGATGTACTATTTTTATGACTTGAAATCCTTTTTCTTTTGTATCAATATATCTCGAGGTTGACATAATCAATTTGAGGGTTTTCTAGCATCAGAACAACCTTCTTACGCAAATAATATTATCAAAACGGTGGGTATTGTTTATCTTCAATCAAGGCAATGTTCTTTGTCTTTGCATATGAAAAACAAAAAAAATTCTGAGCTATAATATAAGGTATGACAACACATGTATTACATGAGCATATCACCATTAGCTCTGATGTCTTTTCCAGATGATGTTACGGTATTGTTAGATTTGCTAAAATAAAGGCTGTCTTTTACTACTTATGAGAATTTTTTCATATGGTATATGTTGTATACAGTATGGAGATCCTAATGTGAGCTGACCTCCAAGGTCATGTGTTATATACGATATGAATCCCTAATCATTTTTCATATATTTTGGGTTTTTGATTCTCTATTCTAAAACATATCACTTGTAAGGAATCTCCTTTTCTAGCAAAAACTCTATAAATATATCAGACCGGTAAATAATAGACAAAGTAACTAAAATTCCTTGCAACCTATCCGTTATTGTGTTCATCTTCTTTAGAGAATTCTAACTATTATATTGTTCAGAAGATAATTGAAAATCGGTATTAACTATTTTCACAAGACATAGCTATAGAGCTGAAGCAACTATTCAAGTAGGCCATTCTAATTCTACTACTTTGAGCAAAGTTTCGTCAAGTAAATATAAATCTGGGTAATGTTTTTCCTCAGTTCCTCGATGTGTATGGAAAAGCAAAGAAAATCAACTACCTTAATAAATATAACTTGGCCTTGCCTCACAAACGATGTGAGGTTGCACATTCTGCTGCACCAAGTTTATTATGGGTATTTTTTGGGATTTTAGGATAGTTTTGAGGAATAAAGATCGATGTTAAAATATATATTAAAGGCATTGATTGAATAAATATAATTATAATTCAAAAATAAATTTGTCTTTTAGTTAATAGTGTGTATGTTATGCTCTTATTGTTGCTATACTATACACCTACTCCATCAGTCAGAAGGCCTACTTGGGAGAATATTTTTGAATTTCAAATAAAAGTTTGGAAACCACCTAAGAATCAATATATGGATATTTCAAGGAAACCACCTAATACTTAGATCTCACCCTCAAAAAACTGGACGGTCTTCTATTGAATCTTTTTCTTGAAACTGTTGACATTGTATAGATGGTGGGTCTCTATTCAATCTTGAAACATTAATTTTCTTTCAAGTATAACAACAAATTAGAAATCCTTACTACCCTTGGAGTATATGTGGTATTCCTTTTGTTCATTTCATCAAGTTTCCTTCCAGATACTAACATCGAAGAGTGAATCTTTATCTTATAGATTCTCTCTCTCTCTCTCTCTCTCTATATATATATATATATATATATTGTGGGGCCGTGGTGGAGGGAATTTTATGTTGTTAAAATTGCTGAACACCAGTAGATCCTTCCAATCGAACTTCTTGATCATTTTGATGTTTCTTGAATTCTCAGGTTCTCATAAGAAGAAGTTTGAACTCTTGCTTCCAATCGTGCACATATAGTAGCTCCTCCATCCATCATTTGTCACACTAATTGTCAAAAATGAGAGCTGGTGGTCTGAGGATCTTTGAAACCATTATTTAACTTTTACCTATTTCCAATAATAAATCAAATATGCATGCAACTCCAAAAAGCCGGAAAGAAATGCAAGGTGTGAATCAAATTAATGCAAAACATTATAAACAACCAAAACTTTGGGTGCCCTAGGTTACTTATGTAATGATAAGGATTCTTAGACTAACTACAATACTACACCATCTTATTGAATGAAAATCAAGCCTGCATCAAGTCTTACTTGAGAACCACAACTCCATCGAGATTAGGTTTGTTGAGGTTGGTGACTCCAAAATCATCATTCCACAATAGAAATTATAAAATCCTATCTATAAGTAGGGTTTGTTGGTTTCATGTCTTCTGGGTGGAAGTTATGTGGGTGATTTCTATTTTAAATGCAATACTATCTGTCTGAATAGCAAGTATTGTGGGTTAAGTGCATCTCATTGTCCAAGAAAATTGATGATATGTTCCTGCACTACGTGTATTTCTAGATTTTATATTATAAATCAAAAAATAGTTTGTTTTTAATATATAGAGAGGAAAAACATTACTCATATTGAAGACAAACAATCCTCATCGATTCAGCAATGTTATATGCATACAAAGGTTGTTTTGATATTAGAAAACCTTCAAATTGATCATCTCGACCACGAGATGTATTGATATACAGAAAACAGGATTCCAAGTCATAAAAATGGTACATGTTGTAATATATTAGTTGGATCGTCATTTTAAAAAATTTTGAGCTCCAATTTAAAAACCAACAAATGAGTATTTCCTAGAAAAAGTGGGCAGGGAAAGATGTAAATTTTCATGCACAATTTACGAAGCCTGAATTGTACTACCATGGTGATTCTTATACCCAGTAGTTGGAGACTTGACGTTGATTGGTACTTTGGTTACATGATGATGTGACGTGATTCTCACTGGTTTGTGAAGGTGAAAGTAAGCAATGCATAAACAGAAGAGAGAGGGTACACTCTTTGTCAAGGTGACTATGAAAACTCAATCCCATTTGTCGAAATATAACATTAATCATTTTAATGGTAAAAGGATAACAGATCATTTTTTTTCTTCAAGAATGCTTGGTACATTACAGTAGAGCCCAGGCACAAAAGTCTATCTAATATAAGAACCTTTGGTGACTTGTTTAGAGAGAAGTGGGCCAGATATTATAGATTGGGATTTATGCACACAATAGCAAAACATAAGTCGTAAAATTATTACGACTTTCACCAAAAGCCTTAATATTTAGGAGCATAAATTCCACTTCCTACTTTAGGTGAAAAAGCTCAAATCGCTACTTAAGACGATTTTCTTGGTCTGTACATTTCATGCACAATTTACCAAGCCTGAATTTATACTACCATAGTGATTCTTGTGCCTAGTAGTCGGAATCTTGACTTTGTTTGGTACTTTGGTTACATGATGTGAAGTGATTCTCACCGGTTTGTGAAGGTTAAAGTAAGCAAGGCATAAACACAGGAGAGAGGGTACAACACTCTTTGTAAAGGTGACTATGAAAACTCAATCCCATTTGTCGAAATATAACATTAATCATTTTAATGGTAAAAGGATAACTGATCATTTTTTTTACTTCAAGAATGCTTAGTACATTACAGTCGAGCCCAGGCATAAAAGTCTATCCAATATGAGAACCTTTGCTGACTTGTTTAGAGAGAAATGGGCCAAATATTATAGGTTGGAATTTATGCACACAATAGCAAAACTTAAGTTGGTAAAATTATTATAACTTTCACACCAAACGTCTTAATATTTAGGAGCATAAATTCCACTTCCTATTTTAGGTGCGTAGTGAGATATAACACTATGTGAAGGTGGACATTACCAGTAGTAGGAGAATGGACAGAGGACTCGTTCCAATCGGTGTAGATCATGAGCGAATTCCAAGACCGGAATACGTAATTATTAAAGATGATTCGGCTTATGACATGGTTAGAGCCTATGTATTACCAGAAGACATGCAAGATATTGATGAATGGGCTAGATCGTTCTATACCTTAGGACACCTTGAATGAATTCTTGAGTATGATAAACCATTACTACCCGAGCTGACCAATCCACTTTCGATTGAAGCGAAAGCTATGGTTGCCAGGGAGTTCAACTCATTCCCACGGGTGACTAGTCTGTCATTTGAAACTGGTATTGACACAATACCATACGAGTCATCATCAGCAGCAGGCTACGGTTATTTTGGGCGTAAAGGAGAAGGTGAGAACTTGAAACGTGCCAAGACAAATTGCAAACGCATTAGTTTGATAGTTTGACGAAGATATCACGGCACACGGATTAGCAGCAGCTCGAAAGAGAATTGTAGATAACGGCATGCCAGATATTGGATTTATGAGGACACAACTAGCAAGACTAACGTTGATTAAAGTTAGGAATGTTTTTGGTGAGGCATTTCATTATGGCTTAATTGAAGGACTGTCAGCATACCCAGTTCTTCCGGTCTTTAAG